TGAGGTGGGTTTACATTCTAAAATTACTGTCAAACATGCTGAAGGCAGCTACTAATACGTCTTTGTTGACAGATTCTTAGGCAAATACTCACCCGTGAAGCGTTCCTCACTTAAAAAAAACTAATATTTAAACACAATAGTTAAGTTAATTAATCAAATTTTAGAGTCACTCTATGTGATAATGTCGTTCTAATGTCCTCCTTTTTATTTGTTCAATGTAACTCAGAATTACTGATAATTGAATTCCCAGCACACACACACACACACACACACACACACACACACACACAGTTGTCTTGCACTCTGAGGCTGACCACGCTGCTTCTCTTTCAGGTACGCCATGGCCTTGTACAACCAACACGTCTGCCCTGTGGATAACTGGTAAGTTGCGAAACACATCCTCTGCTGTTGCTTCAGCGCCTTTTCATCCCTGATACTAAATCATGACTGTGGGTTTGATGATCCGTTAGTGGTGTCACCACAAGGTTTCCCAACCTGTTGGGATTTTTTCACCTTCGGCAAAACTGAAGTTTTCATCATCCAAGTTGCAGAGATGTCCTACATCAGCACATAATATCAGAGAAAAATAAAGTATAAACAGTCTTAATGCACTTTGAGTGGCTTCTGGGCCAGTGAGCTATTAAAAAAAAAAAAGACGGAGCCTGAAAGTGATTTCACAATAAGCAATTCTCATAGAGAAGTATGATTTAATGATGTGAAACTTTTTATTGCATTTTGCTTTTTTGGAATTGTTGTTTCCATTCAGTCTAGGATTATTTATAACCATGATAAAGAATCTATTCCAATCTTAACACTGGCTTTGTTTAATGTTTAATCCACCAGGTTGTACAACCAGTCTTGTGAAGAGGAGCTTTATTTGCAGAGCGGTCCAACCTTGTGCTGCACATTAGACAATGTACCTCTCATCAGGTCAGTGAGGCTGTGAGGGTGACCTCAACTCTTCCTCTCCTCTGCCTGCCACTCTCTCTGTCTCCTCTCCGTCTCTTTGTTTGCAGTTTGAGCCACACCATTAACAGGAATACTGTCCCATTGTTCTATGTGACCCCTGTCGGCTCTTTGCCGTGTAAGGGTGGTTCAAGTGGTTATCCTGTCTCTGTGTGTTTGTGTGTGTGTGTGTGTCTGAAAATAACTTGGCGCTGAAATATCCTGCTGCCACCGTGGCATCCCATAAAAATAACATGGGTCAGGTTTTTTACTACGTAAACACTCAGTCAGTCCAGACACTCCCACCTTGTTGTTAGGGTCTTTGGTTCGTGACAGAGGCCGTGAATGCTGTGTTTTTTTGTTTTGGTAAAACTCTTTAAAATGATGTTTTCAATGTTCCAGTCTCATGATGACATTCCTTTAGGTGGTGGATCACAGTGGTCATATGATCCACACATGAAAATAATCCATGCACTGTTCACAGCATTTCTCTTAAATTCTAAATATACTTATTATGTAAAGATCCATGTGTAAATATTGGCCGAGTGAATATTCCTGTTTAGCTCCAGTCTCCACAGAATTCTGTGTGTGTCTGTGTTCCTGTGTGTGTGTGAGACCGTAGTCAGCTGAGAAAGTCTCTGTAGGCAGCAGGAGCCTGGGCACAGACGGCCAGTGTTGACTGTGTCCCGTCTTCCCTCCTACAAACATTTCCCGTTCCTAGAAGAGAGGCAGTGTGCAGTAGGTGAAAAGTCATCAGCTTCATGGTCGGGTGTGAGGTATCATAGTAGTACCCCCCCGCCCCTCCACTTTCCCGTACCAGCCCTCTGACAGTTCAGGCACAAAGCATTTCTAACATAGCTATATGTCAGTGTGTGTAATCAGTAGGAGGAGGCGTCGTTGGAAGTGTAGCATGTGTAGGCTGCTTTGACGTGATCTCTCAATTTACTGTGGTTTACTCTGTCTTTCAGTAAATGTGGAACTCTTCCCCCTGAGAGCTGCTTCTTCAGCCTTATCTGCAGCACAGGCTCCTTCATGGGTAACGTATATTCACTTGTATACAATACACACCCTCTGTCCTAATATTTTACACCGTAAATTAGTTTAGGGCCGACACAGTCTTCATTTCACTGTCCAGTGCACACATTTCCCATGATGGTGAACAGATCAGGGTGGTCTCTACGGTGTCTCGGAGCAAACTCAAAAAAATCTAGTCATAATGAATATTTTTGGTATTGGCTGTTGCTTTGTGTCTCTGTATGATGCTCCTTAAAGCTTGATCTGAGCTGTTATTGTCATTGTCTTCAAGTGTGCTTTTCTGTACAACACCACCTTCATTTGCTGTGTCTCTTTCTGGTCACAAGTGTGCTTTTCTGTACAACACCACCATCATAATGTCAAGTTCTTTGTCTCTACATCAGAAAGTGTGCTGGATTACACCTGAGGCTCTGTGTGCATATTTGCCATGAGCATACATTTGCCCAAAACTTTAGAACATCCATGACCAGAGGTTAAAACATGTATGGACATATGTTGGCTAGGAAAACATTGCTTGGGGTTTATAACATGTATGTAGATTAAAGGTTTCAGCAGCAGCAGCAGAGCTCTCATTGTGCTTGTTAATGCCTCTGTGCCTGTCACAGGGCTAATACATAATATTTGTTCTGTCCTTTTTTCTTTCTTTTTTTTACCACGGTCAACCATCGAAAATTGTTTTCTTGGCAGGTCATAATTGTGGTCGATCCATTCAACTGTGTTCTGTCATTAAACAGACTGGGTTTCCTGCCATTTTAAAACGACTCCTTCCTTGTAACTTGTTACCACACGGATCATGTTTCAAGTTAAAACTTTCCCATGTGGGAATTTGAATTAAGTAGAGGTTATAAAGACGGAAAAATTACTTTGCAGTGAGTGTGAATAGATAAATAAAAAACCTAGTTGATCTAGAAGAAGGGAACGTGGTCCTTCGTACATGTTTGTGAATGTTTTTTGGTTCGTCTCCACGTGGTGTTCCTGTTAGCTGCTGCTGCTGTCTGCTCCGATGTAGTTAATGTTTCCCAGCTGTGCCTCAGTCTCGTTCTCGTGTGTGTGTGTGTATTCTATATTAAACTGGAGTGTGGTCTTTTTTTAAGGATACTCCATGCGACATTGTTCTGTTACTGTTTACATACATTAACCTCCTTCGTTCCCTGCAGGAGGTTCTTTAGGGTTTGTTACAGTCAGAGGTGTAATGTAACCAAGTAAAACTAATACTTTACTACTGTAATTCAAAATGTATGAGGAGTATCTGCCCTTCATTCAAATTCTTTTCTTCCGAATACTTCAAAAGAATTCTTGGCATGGGACAGGTTTGACGAAAATGGCTTGTTATTGGACTATGAAGGCTCATCACTGCTTATATTTCCTTGTACTGCACCGAAGAATAATTTCTTTCAAATACGACTTCTGCTGTGCCTTCAAGAATGGACTAAAATATATGACCTTTGAGAATCCTTTGAGCAGCTTGCAATTCTGCTTGCAGAACAATTTGAACAATTCTGAACAATTTGGACAGAATTAAGGTCATCATTAGAAGACTTCAATTTGACTTGAGTTAAGGTGCCAAAAAACATTTCCAAATTGTATTTTTTTTGTGGCCTTCTCAGCTGCTTTAAAGCAGAGTCCTTGTCTCCTAGTCTTCATGGTCACGTATGTGTATTGTGTTCTCTGTCCAACTGTTCAGAAATGTACGTTACTGGTCTAATAAAGCAGCTCTACAGAAGTAGGTTAAGTTGATGTGGCATTTAACTATACAACAGGCTATTGTAAGGAATCAGGGCTCAGCTTTTTAGCCTATTGATTTATGCCTTACACTGTAGTCGGTGCCTGTTGCTGTTGGCTCTGGAGTTTGGAGCCGTTGTCTGGAATAACAGGGACTCACTGAACTCTGAATTACATCAGAATTGTTCCTTTGATTTGTTTCCAGTCCCACCTTTTGCCAGTGCACGCACACACACACACACACACAATGCATCTTTTCTTTTTCTGCCGTCCTGTGGGATGGGCGGGTTGTGCTGGTTATTGGGGTTGAAACATATCGCCCTGTGGGCAGAGCAGGGTTCATTAAACTCTGAGGTGTGATGTGGCCACTGCAGGAACACAGACTGGTGTGTTTACATGAACCACTTCCACCTACGTCTGTGTGCGAAATCTGAAATGGTTGCTTTTGACTGCAAGGCTGCGTGTTACGTAACGTTAGCGTGTGTCCACTGTTGTTACACCTGTGTGGTGCTTCCTCCTCGAGTTCAAAGAATAGAATACATGTTGGTAATGGATGATCAGTCCATATATATATATGGACTGATCATCCATATATCAGTGTGTGTGTGTGTATATATGTATATATATACACACACACACACAAATATATGTATGTATATATTGAAAGTCATGTTGTTTTTAAAAAAAAATCAAAACAAATGTATTGTTTTAGTTATTTATCTGTTCCCAGTTTCAGTTTATCTGCATCTTCCCTTTATGACAAACGTAATGCAGATATTTCAACCAATTCTTACAAATCATTTTTTCTGTCTGATCATCAAATCCATAGCAAATAGCATAGTAAAACACCACATGACCCTGTGAGCTGAAACGAAACTAAAGACAAAATGAAAAGACACATGACTATTGAGAAGGAAGGTAATGGGGAACAATCTTGGTCTTTAACCTTTCAGCCATCTCCTCATCAACTTTTCTAAATGCCAGCACCTTCATCTGTGCTCTTTTGTCATGATAAAAGTCATTGTGTTGACCATGCTGTAGGAGAAAAATCCACAGCCAGTCAGTCTACAGCCAAGACGCTGAGATGCCGTAATCTATTTAAATTAATGCATCTGACATTCCTGTCTGTTCAGAAACACAACATGTTCCTCAGGAGGAAAACAAACAAAACAAGATTGTTTCTCCGCCTGGAGACGCATTTACTTGTGGAGAACATTTGAAATGAAATCATGTTAAAAAAAAAACAAACAAAAAACTAATCATGTGATCTTGTTAAAACTGAGGAACAAACATGTTTTGCAAAATTCAAGAAGCTTCAATAAAATTGAAATGGCAGCCACTAGCTTTTAAAACTGGTACTGCAATTAATTTTTTCCTTTTTGCCCCAAAATCCCCTGAAGTCGACATATTATTATAATTTTATTCCATCCAAATCATCTGCTGCAACAAAATGTAACCGATCATCATCTTGACACTGTGAATAGTTGATTAAATGGCTTTTGAAAAAGGCCTGGTTATTAAGTTCAATTAATTAATTTTTAAGATATCAGTGTACGATTCTCAAGAAAAAAATTTTTAAAATATCAGTGTACGATTCTCAAGAAAAAAAAACATTAGTAGGACAATAATTAAAGATGTATTTGATGGTAGATTATTAATATATTTCTGTTACTAAATTCTCTCATCTCATACACACATACATTTGTATATGTTTCCATACGTTGATTGTACTAATGTCTTGCTCTGCTCTGCTCCTGCTACAGGTTGACTGTAACCCTAAGAAAGTGTTTGCAGTTTCTTCATCACTGTAAACAGCAGTGATGAAGAAACATCCCGCGGGGGTGTCACCTCCTCACTGCAACAACAATGCTCCCAGTCACAGCCCATTAGCACCTCAGCTGTCATCTGTCCCTTTTACTGTATTTCACTTCCCTTTGCCTTTAAACCCCCACCCGTGTGTTGTTGTCACTTTCCCACCATTTCCTGTCCCCTTTTTTCTCACTCGTTTGGCTGAGAAATTCTACTTCCTGTGATTCTCCGTCAGCTCCCAAAGAATCCCTTTGTTTCTTGGGTAAAAGCCAGTGTTTTCACTGTTATGAGGCAGGCCCTGTTAAAAACTCCATTGTCCGTTGCACTTTCACATACAAGTCTAATGCTACCTGTGATCACAGCATTTAGCCGTTGTCTCTGTGCTTTCTCTCCCTGCAGTGATGGTCATTGTTCTGCTCCGTTACGCACATGTGATAGAGAAGCATCAGAACTGTGTTCTCAACACAGCAAGTCTCTCCACAGGCTGGATCTGTGCCGCCGGACTCATCATGGTCGGAAATTTCCAGGTACGGTGACATCAATATTGACATAGAAAAGGCGACAGAGCCGTGACAAGTTGCCATGCCATGTTTTATTTTCCTTAGTGAAAAACGGATCTAATATGCTGTAGTAATGGCTAAAATTAAAAAAAAGTTTGGTTTGGAAAACCAAACAAAAACAATTTAGGCTGTGCTGACATGGTGACATAACACACTGGGATGGATTTTGTGGTGGAGACCAAGCTGTCTTTGACTGGGATATACTGTAATTATATGCTACATGATCTTTCTGTGTTTGGGTGCCTCCACCAGTGACTCTGCTGCCTTTGCTGAAACACTCTTGTGTGGCCTCCGAAGGAGTTTAGCGTTAAAATTTCAAGTACAAAAACTCCCCAATGCCCTGAATGTTTGTTCCCAGGGAAAGAATTTCTCCTAGTTTAAATATTTGGAACCCTGGCTTGATGCCTGCATGGAGGGATCAAGAGTGAGTGAGTTTGTGTTCTTTGCCCATGTGTTTGTATCTTAGAAGATAGATGGCAAAAAGATGAGTGACAGCAGCTTAGTTATGGAATGCCTTCTAGGGAACGACTTGTTCTCTGTGAAAATAAAGATGTTTATTTGTCTGTTTTTTGTTTGTTTTTTCTTTTCCTGAGAGGAAAACAAAGATTAACACAAAGTTGTACTTCTTGTTCTATGACTTGTTCATGATTATGAGTGTTTGCAGTTGGTAATTAGATGGGGACTAGTTTTTAGAACCATTCTCCTATGTAACCTGCTTTACATAGTAATGTGTGGTAAACAGCTCCAGGTTTATACAGCCGGTTTTCTAATGTGCAAGGTAAATATACTTGTTTTGTATGGACAAGTTCGTGTTGCAACAGTACTTTGTGCGTTTTCTGCTTTTTTCTGATGGACCATTACAACCACATTTGTTTTTGGTTTCTGGAAGATGTTGCAAAATATTGAGTATCTTTTATTACCGTAGCAGGTTGACACTGTGAGTTACTAAGAATTCACTGTGTGCTCAAAAAGAGTAATCTGTTAATTCTGTGAATTTAGGTTTTACTCTCTGATCCCTGTTGGGTCATGGTTTCTATAGAAGTTCGTAGACACCTCTTTGTAAAATCTATTCAGCTATGGTTAATTTTCATCCAAGAAATTTTAGGTCATACTTCCGAGTTGAGGTTTTTGGAAATCTGCAGAATTCCTTCAGTGGCATTTCCGTTGACACAAATAATACTCTTTTTTTTTCTACTTATGGCATTTTTAAAGAAAACAAATGGGATGGTGGAGGTGGATACTGTGTGTGTATCAGTTACTGCTCTTTAATCATCAGCATGTTTTCACAAGGATAGAACAGCAGTTATCCTCAGGAGTCGTTCAACTTTTCTGTTTATTTGGGTGAGATTGTTTGTTTGAGAGACAGTTTGGAGACATTTATATGACGGGTATTTCACTCTACGCAACGCTGCTGAGTTTGACAACCAGGCGCCTTTATGAGCCATAATTTAAACTACATTTCTGTAGGAAACTGCCTATTCAAGAGTGAGAGTGTGGAACAGATGTGGAGATGAGAGTTTGCAGCAAAGTGCATGAACATTTTTTTCCTAATGCCAAGGTCTGTGTTCTTCTGAACTGGGAGGAAACTTACTGGAAGGGCCAGGGGTATGTGACTCATCAAATCCAGCCGTGTATGTAGTGGTGCTGGGCAGACGGTGTGTGTGTGTGTGTTCGGAGTGGAGGATCCATCTTTAACCCTACACAGACGCTGGGTCTTAAGCTTCAAAGCTCATGCCTTCAGGACACGGATGGAAATAGAGATGTGACTGATAGTGAATGAAAATTCATGACGGTGCATCGATATGAGAGCTCATGTTGAAACCTGAATTCATAGACGATGGTTACTTCATTTTTTAATATCAGATGTTTGGGCGGTTCAGTCAGAGAGATGGATGAATACAGGACACACACACACACACAGAGGTTGGTGTGTTGTCCATGGACCAGGAAAGGGAGGAGAATGACCTCCATCAGACTTCCAGTTTAACAAACTGGACATTATTTAACCTGGGAAACCTTTCCCACAGCTGTCACGTGGTCATCACCGTCTCTGCTGCTGACTTATTATGCAATCAAAGAGCAAAGTTTCATTCAACTGTTAATAGTTGAAAGAGCAGACAGTGATGATGGACAAGCACTCCTGTCCCACTTTATCCAACTGTTAATGTATAATCCTATATGTTGACATAAGGTCTCGATGCGTGATCTCCTCAGTAACTGTTACGACAAACTCTCATGTTTTACGCTGGTTCCAAGTTCACCATATGGTAGCGTGGCCGAGTGGTCTAAGGCCGCCAGTTATTTTGTGGTTCCTTAGTGTAGCGGTTTGCACGCCTGCCTTGTGAGCAGTGTCCTTGGTTTGATTCCCAGAGGAACCACAATGGCGATTTCTAGTGACTGAATAATTTCTATTATTATTTCCACAATAACGTGTACAACACACCACAGGCTATTTGAGTGACTCCTTTTCATCTGTGATAATTCTAGCGTTTGGCTATAAAACCAAATGAGCTGGAGAGCAAACAAAGTCCAGTAAACCTGCACATCTGTGGCCTCATCAAGGCGTCTAATCTGGCGGTTCATTTGATGATGTTACATATTAAGTTGACTTATGAAAATGATTGTCTGAGCACTAAGCTGGGCAGGACCTTTAGGTCAACCAAAGAAAACAGTTCAATTGTTTGAAATTATTTGATAATGATTTCCTATTTTGACAATGATAAAAAAAATTAGTTTTAGTTGAGTTCACTTGTCTAGTGAGATTTTTTGTTTTTGTTTTTACTGCTGTACTACAAAGAGCTATTTAGGCGGCCATGTTGGATTAGCCTGCTGAAGGAAATTGTTCTACCTGTTATGTTACTTCACTTTCAGGCTTCATTTATCAACTATATTAGTATGAATGCAACTGTTAGAGGAATTTTTCTTCAGCTCACTGTGGAGGATAGAAAATACAACTTTCTCAGTAAAACTTGTGGGAATGTGTCCCTGTTCTGACTGCTTTCTCCTCAGGCCATCACTTCCAGCCGCCAAGCTGTTCATGACTAATCATAGGACAAAGAAGACCTTCACCTTGTCTTCTGTGCTGCCTACAGGTCTTAGACTTCAAGGATTAGCCTACTGCACAGAAATGTTGTGTGTGAATTAGCTGGGTCAGTAGAGCGGTGGAACTTAGTCAGAACGTAATATTTTCTTAGTTGTGGCTCTAATGATCCAAATGAAATGTGCCAAGTGAAAATGACGGTCGTTCAGTCTTCAGATCAAAAATGATCAGCTTCCTTTCTGCCTCTCCTTGTGTTTGTGTGTCTGTGTAGCTGCAGTCACATGGCCCTGGGCAGATCTTTTGTGTATTGTTTCTTATTGCTCTTGTGACTGACGGGCAGAAGGAGGCGTTCTGTTGTGTCGCTTGTTTGCAGTTTTTGTTTTTTCTACGTGCACTTTACACAAACGCAAACAAAATGACTTCAATGCAATAATTCACATGAAGTCACATTTTGAAACTGAAACAGTTTGGTGTGATTTCTCTCAGCTGTTTAACTGCTCATCTGCTGGATTTTTTTTACACATTTGTGATGTTTATTACTTGTCTTTTCCCCTGACAGGTGGACAATGCCAAGATCCTCCACTATGTGGGAGCAGGAATTGCCTTTCCTACTGGAATGCTGTTTGTGTGCCTGCAGTCGGCGCTGACTTACCGACTGGCCAAGACCCAGGGGGAGTACTACGTGGCCCACCTCCGGCTCTGCATGACCCTGCTGGCCTTTGTGGCCTTGGTGCTCAGTATCCTCCTCAGCCATAGACAGATGGCAGCCTTTAGGCTTTACAGTCAGTGGAGATACCTGCAGTATGATAAAGCAGGGAGACACAGACACTCGATTACAAACATGACAGAAATCTGCGTCTAGTTTCTAATGTAATATCTCTTCTTTTTTATGGGCATTTTTACTGCTAAGAGAAAATACACAGATTGATAGCGAGCCTGTTGTTAAACGGTTCAATCTCTTAGATTCATAGATTGGATACATGAAATGGACACAGCTGTCACTGCAGCAGGGTGAGTTGACTTAGTTCTAGGACTCATACAGAGGGTCTGGAGAAATGACTTGCATTTTATGGAAGAAAGAAACCTGTGTGATTCTCTGTGACAGTGACCACTGACCAGTGGTCTGTCATTAACGTTACTCACCACAGTAGTTTATTCATTTTGAACTTGTCCTTCAGTCAGAATCAAGGCCAGTCCAGTCTTGGCACCAACTCTGCTCGTTTGGTCTTTAACAGTGTTTTTCAGGCGGAGTCTTCTTCTGTCAGGAGAGCTTTGTCCTCCAACATGCATCGGCCGTATTCGAGTGGGTCTTCTGTGTCACTGTCATGCTTTTCTACGGGACGTTTGCTTTTGAGTTTGCCAGCATGTCGGGAGACACCATGGCGGTGCTGGCCAGAGGAGGGGCGCTGGGACCTGCTGGGAGAGAACATAAGGTGGACACCATGGGAGGTCACTCTCAGTCACATCCCCTCCAAGCAGAAAACATGTCCATGCTGTAGACTGGGGACATGTGGACGGCACACAGATGGCTGGTTTTGTTCTTTTCATCCTTTGGTTGTAGAATGAATTTAATTATTCCATTCTAGCCACACTCTTCTGAAGCTTTGAAGTAAACGAGGCCGGTGCAGCAGCCGTTCAGGGCAGAGAGAATTTCACCGATGATCGGCTGCTCAGCGCCCGTTGACTCTCACTCTGAAGAATTTGTTCGTATTTTGCACGTCGAAGGTGTGACACCAACTCTCTCTCTCTCCGAAACTCTGCCCTTTCCAAACATTCCAGGAGACAAAGTTTATCGATTAATCAGTTAGGAAAACATTCCTATGGATAAAACCCTGTTGATATTACAGTATATGGAATGGTGACTGTTCACCACTTCACTGCCAAAATCATTTCATAGAAAGGAAGTAAATGCTGCTGGTCAGCCTGGCTGACAGTGTTACAGGGCTGAGACTCATGCAGAGGTTTGTATACGAATGTTACGGATGTCAAGGTCTGGCTCGAAAAATCAGACATATCTAATCTAGTATTAATGTTTCAGACTTACGTTGAAGTCTGTTTTCCAATCATTTAAACTTGCTTTAAGCAGTATATATATATTTGCAAATAACAAATCAAAGGATTGTAAAATCATCCTTCCTACACATGAACATCTGACTCTGCATGAGTATAACTTACTTTGTCACAAGAAGGCAACGAGTTTGCACCATAGGATGTAGGAGGGTTACTTTGTCACAAGAAGGACGACGACGAGTTTGCACCATAGGATGTAGGAGGAGTTAGCTGTAAGTTTGTGGATTAACAGAGCATGCAGCACCGTTTACTCACCTACAGGGGCTGCTATAAACACAGTTTGGTATTAGTCAGCAGTTAGTCTCAGTAGGACAGGACAGGCTGCGCTGGGTAGTGTAGTGCTGAGCACCCGGTAATCTGAATGGTTGGTGGTACTGTACACCTCAGGCAATGTCGCAAGTCAACTTTAACTACACGGTATTTCAACGTGTAACCCAGAATACTACAAGGCTTTACACATTTATTTTTTTAAACCTCTTAACACTGTTACGGTCTGCATCTGACTATTCATCAACATGAAAAGTCAGAACAGGTTTTAATCTCGAGTCAAGTCATGTTTCTACAAGAAGTCCAGTTGTTGATGAGGGGTCGAAGGGTGAGGGTGGAAGTATTTGTAAAGAAAAACTGTCCTGCTTTTGCCACATGTCGCCAAAGTCTGGCGTTGGTGTTAAATTGGTGCTAAATCACACTTCCTGTAAGCTATTTTCCTGAGTTGAGCTGTGTCGAAAATATTTAAAAGCAATATTGCCGTGGTGTGGATTTAGTTTGTGTAGGCTGACAGAAGGTTGCATGGTCACATGTAATCGCCAGGAATACCAAAGCAGATATAACACCTCAGAATTTATTAACACTCACGGAATGTCGTCTACTTCAGCGTCTGCTAGTGTTTTTGGTGTCCAAGTTTGGGATTCAGATATATGAGGATTCAGTTGTTGACTTTTATGGACTTTTATTTTTTTAGTGTAATACCATGTTTGTATTTTACTGCAACTGTTTCGTAGTTGTTGCTGTTTTTGTTTTTTTTGGCAGCGATAACCTGTGTTCTAAATGTTTCATTAAGTAAAAACACATCACTACCTTCCATCACCACTAGCAGAAACTTTGTCGCTATTGGTGTTTAATTGCTGGTGCTTTACAAGAACATATTTTAACATCTCCAGCAAATGGGTGAAGTGAATATTTGTACTGAATGTATGAATTCTTCACAAGACTGAACTGGAAAAGTTTGCACTTGCTGCTCTGGTATGAGCTGGAGGTTCAGCTCACTGCCAAGCGTCCACACAGCTGAACACCTGCGCCCCTCTGCTGGTCAAACCTCTCATTGCACACTACATTTTATGTCACGGTTCAGCCTAGAGCAGGGTTCGTTTCAACTTGAATTATAATTCCTTTCGAGGTTAACTGAAAAGTTGTCAAAGTGCTTACGTTCTTTTAAATGAATCTTAAACTTCTAATGTCCAGCAAATTAAGCCCAAACAACCGCACTGCTCTTTGCGTGCAGTGCGTTTTCGAGAAGTATTTTCATGAAGCCAAAACAAATCTTCTTTATATTTCACAGATCCTATTAATCTATGCTTTTTTTTTTGTTGCTCCAGCTAAAGGCTAAAACACCTGCTTTGACTTTGCTGCTTCGTTTTCACGGTCAGTCTTTTGCCTTTTTTTCCTTGTTTACTGATCTGATCTTTGCACTCAGGAAATGTTACATCACCAGCGGCGTCGTTGATTCACTGCAGAGCCGAATGTTCGCTCCTTCTTCTCGTCCTCAGTGTCATTAAGTTTCCGCCATGTATGTGTGTTTAGCATAGCATAGTAGCAGCCACGCGGTATAATGTGTATATATTTTTTTGTTAATCAAGGCTCTGTAATGCTAAAACGTAAACATTCCTGTTGGGTTCATTTGTGAGACGCATGCTAAAACAAAACAACCTGACAATTGTCTGTAAACATCGGGCAAAAATGTTCCCCGTGTGCCTTAAAGTATGTATAATTTTGATAATGGAAACCAAAGAATTTTAGGTTTATAAAATTATATTTTCATGAAAAGTCATATGATTATATGGGTATGCCTTAATGTTAAATAATAAAAAAAGCAAAAAAGTTTAATATTTGACTTTTATGCTCATTTTTTGCACCTCTACTAATACAGATAATAACACCACGACATGTAGTATTGTCTGTCTTTGCCCCTCCCAGTTGATAATAGTTAATTGCTGCTTAATCTCAAACTATTTTTATTTATTTAACAGAATTAACTTGTTTTTTTTTTTTTTCAGGAATGGCACCAGTATTGCAGAAATACGATTTGTTACTACATGAGCAGGCCCCCTAAACCTTCACTTGTAATCTGCAATATCTGATCGTTATTACTGGTAAATTCTGTGGTAAAACATTGATATAATATAGGGAAACCAGAGAGAGAGACAGTCTTCCTTCTTTAATTGAGTTTATTATATACACTGTTCACGATCTCTGTCATCAAAACAGACATGACGATGACAAAGATCAACACGTTGATTCAATGAAACAAAAACAAGAAGTGACTGAGACTTCTACGTCCTGTCCTAAATTAGATCCTGTCCGATCATGAAATGTAATGTGAAGTTTCACCTATTGAGAAATATATCCACAAATGCTCCCTTTCACCTGAAAATCCACAGATTATCTTAATCTACAACAGACTGTACAATATGGTAAGGATGAAGCACATGGAATAAGAAATAAGAAAAGAATCCCTGGGTGATAGGAAGAAAGTAAGAGCATGGTATGTTCACTGTATGTATTATTGAGCTAGATGATTATTTTGGATTTGACCGACCCCGACCGGAGAACGCAGCAGCTGTAAGACATGAGTGGTTCAATGTATTGAGTTCTGTAACTGTTTTTCACTTTTATGCACAAAAACAGGGAGAAAGAAAAAAAAATGCAAAAAGGAAAATAAGAAAACAAAAACTAAGATTTAATTAAGGTTAAAAAGTTTCCAGTTCTTTAAATTATTTTTTTTTTTGTAACAAGTGCAGGCTGCACATGTTACAGAATAAGACTTTATAGTAAAAAAAAAAAACTTAAAACATGTCCTTCTGAAGCCAAGCTTTTTTTTCCTTTTTTTTTTTTAGCAGTAATTACATCACGTGGTGAGTGAGTCACTGACCAAAATACTGGATCCTGTTATACTGTAGCACCATTAGAAAATAAAGCACTGAGGTTAAGGCACATTCACAGCATTGAAATAAAACCCTGCGACTTCAGTGCTGAAAAAGTGTTCTTTTGCTGTGCATTTTAAATTTGTTTTTATATAACATTACTAAAGAAGAGGTATGACCTGTAGTAGTTGGTGCATCTCCGCTGCACCAGTCATTTGTTTTTATTTTTCCCTGTATGTTTGACACAGACTAGTGTTATTTCCTCTCACTCCACTGAACATCCTTTGGCTTCTGTGATTGTTTTGCTTTACAGGCAGTGTTGTGTGCAGCTCTGCTAAAAATCATTGTTAATCTCTGACCCTTAACTATGTCTTTCTGTTTAAAACCACATTCAGTGACCAGCGTTGGCGTTCAGACGTCTGGGAACGAACAGGCTGAATATTTAGACAATGAGCTTTTTGGGCACTTCCCAGGTGAACTCTGGTCGACCAAAATGTCCGTAGCAGGCGGTTTGCTGGTAGATTGGCCTCTTGAGGTTCAGTTCTCTGGAGGAGGATGTTGAAGAAGAAAGGGAGTGAGAACCAAAAAAGGTAAAAAAAAAAAAAATATATATATACATTGTTAAATATTTGTTTCATTTCATACGATGAAGAAAATGTGTTATATAGAGCTTTGAATTCGACCAGTAATGTTTTGACATCTGAAAGTTTTCTTTAGTGGTGTATACAGCTCAAAAGCGTATTTGACTCCCTCTTGTGGAAGTGTAGAGAAAATGCAGCTCACATGAGCTAATCTAAAATCGACTGCACTTACTGAAGTATAAAAAAATCGAATATATATGTGTGTGTATATATATATATATACATATATATATATATATATATATATGTATATATATATATATATATTACCATTTGCAATAGTAGCAATTGTAATAGTACAGTTCAAAGGTCACATAAATAATTTTTACCTGACAATAACTCCTGGCCGCAGATCAAAGTTCTTGTTGACGATGTGGAGGAGCTCTTTCTCTGTTTTCTGGGAGGATCCGTAGGTGAACAAGGACACAGACAGGGGATGGGCCACTCCAATAGCATAAGAAACCTGTGACATGGCCAGACAGGAAGAAAGGAAACATTTCAAACTGGAGATTAATGTACCTGCCCTTCTTGTGTTTGTCTGTGGTTGTGACAGTGACACTCACCTGAACCAGAACTCTCCTGCACAGTTTGGCTTTGACCAGAGACTTGGCCACCCATCGTGCAGCGTAGGCAGCTGAACGATCCACCTTTGAGAAGTCTTTGCCGGAGAAAGCCCCACCACCGTGAGCTCCCCAACCTCCATACGTGTCTACAATGATCTTCCTTCCTGTCACACCAGCATCACCCTGATGGATGAGGAAATTGTAAGTGTTGGATCCTTTTTGTTTGTAAACATTATTTGTGGGTAACGTTAAAGTGCAGTTCACCTGAGGTCCTCCAATGACGAAGCGGCCGCTGGGCTGAAGGTGGTAGATGGTCTTGTCATCCAGATATTTGGCAGGAACCACAGCGCTAATCACCTGACGATCAATCAGAGTCAGAAGAGATGTTCTTAGTTCTGACACTGTTGGATGATGATGAGGTTTGTTTAAGAGGATACTGCTGTTTTACCTTGTTCTTCAGGATTTGTTTCTGCTCCTCCAGCGAGATGTAGTCGTCGTGCTGGACGGAGATGACGATGGTGTGAACTCTCTTTGGAATCACAGCACCGTCCTTCTGCTCGTAGTGCACTGTCACCTGTAGGACAGACAACACGTCAGTAGCTGTGACGCAGGGTTCCAAAATGACGAGCTGTTGACTCTCTCTGTTTCTCACTGTTAAAGCTAACGGTGTGACAACCTCACCTGTGTTTTTGAGTCAGGACGCAGCCAGGGCACCGTGCCGTTACGTCTGAGTTCAGCCATCTTTGAGTTGAGCTTATGTGCTAAGACAATGGTGAGAGGCATGCACTCCTCAGTTTCATCTGTGGCATAACCAAACATCAGACCCTGTGGAGAGGAAGGAGGGAAAGA